GAACGGTCTGTAAAGTGCGCACCCGAGTGAAAGTCTAGATGGTCATTTCGTCTTCCAATCACTCAAAACAGAGTTAGCGAGCCCCTTTTTGGATCCATGCGAGAGGTACACCTGTAGGCTACACTCGCTCTTCTTGCTTCGCTAGTGGTTCAACCTTCAAACAAGCAATGATTTTGGTGTGTGCACAACTGTGACACTCATCGATAACGATCCTCCTCTGTCGGTAAAAGCGCGCCAACTCCCGCTGGTACTGAAAAGCGACTATCGAACTGTAGTAGCGCTGGCCACCATTAGAAAACACTGTGAACTCACCGAATCAGTAGTGAGGACATCTTTATCCAAACTAAACGGAAACTCAGAATAATTGCAAAGGTTTTCAACAGGAAGCTGCCAATTGCGTGGACCTTACTTAAGGTCGTTCGGTAACTAGAAGCAACATATTGTAGCCGTTCTTATAACAACCACAACCCTGACTACAGCGCTGCCAATCTTGCACACAACAAAGACCAAGCAAGCAACATTTCTATCCAGCCCTGACCTGCAACGTCTCTGAATAAGCCAGCAACCCGCCAGCACTCAGATGACTCCTTTCACTTAGCTGTTAAGCATGTAACACAACAAATACAAATATTAGCATATTTTATTACATAACAGAACAAAATATGATCACGACAAGCCATGATCGCTACATTCTAAAAAGAATGATACGGCGCCGTGAGCGAGATCTCGAAAACAATAACAAGCATGCAAAATCTAGTCGACCTCCTCCATTCGGGAAGCATCCTCCTCAGCACCGGCGACTTTAGGGACCTCGGCCGCACAAGAAGCGGCAGGGATTTCCTCGTCCTCATCATCTCCAATATCGAGACCAAGCTTGATCATTCTATAAATTCGTGACGCATGGGACTGCGGTTCTTCCAATGTGAATCCGGACGACAGCAGAGCAGTCTCGAAGAGCAGGATAACAAGATCTTTCACAGTCTTATCATTCTTGTCAACCTCGACCCTCTCGCGTAAAGTCCTGAAAACATCAAAATAATGAAGTAAATAATTCAAATGCCGACCAGCACAAAATATTAAAATTAAAACAAATATGAAAGCTTACTTCATAATAGCATGGTCAGGGTTGATCTCGAGATGTTTCTTAGCTGCCATGTAACCCATGGTTGATGAGTCTCGAAGCGCTTGCGCCTTCATGATACGTTCCATGTTCGCCGACCATCCATACTCAGAAGTGACAATGCAGCATGGAGAATGGACGAGTCGGTTTGAAACGGCAACCTTCTCAACCTTCTTCTCGAGAATGTCCTTGATGACCTTGCAGAGGATTCTCGAACTTGACCTGAACAACAAAGGAACTAGTAGCAATACTCGTGCGGGAGCGAAAACAACCAACAGATCTCAACAAACCTTATCCTCCTCGAACTTCTTCTTCTCATCCTCAGACTCAGGAAGTTCGAGTCCCTCCTTCGTTACCGACACCAACTTCTTTCCTTCGTACTCCTTCAGTTGCTGCACGCAGTACTCATCAATTGGGTCAACCATGTACAGAACTTCGAATCCACGATTGCGAACACGCTCCACGAATGCGGAGTTGGCGACAGCATCCTTGGACTCTCCAGTGATGTAATAGATCTGAGTCTGATTGTCCTTCATGCGCGAGACGTAATCTTTCAGCGAAGTAGGCTCATCAGCAGATGATGACGAGTAGTAGCGTAGGAAATCAGCCATCTTCTTGCGGTTGGTCGAATCTTCATGGATACCGAGCTTGATGTTCTTTCCAAATTGTTCGTAGAACTTCTTAAAGTTGTCTTTGTCCTCGGCAATTTCTTCGAAGAGTTCGAGACATTTCTTCACGAGGTTCTTGCGGATGACCTTCAAGATCTTGCTTTGCTGGAGCATTTCTCTAGAAATGTTGAGCGGGAGATCTTCAGAGTCTACAACACCCTTGATGAAGTTAAGATATTCGGGCATCAGTTCCTCACAGTTCTCCATGATGAATACTCGTCGCACGTACCTAAACAACACATTGGGTTTGAAACCAAAAACAGTATAGACGCAAAGCAAAAGAAATAAAACATACAGCTTGATCGAGTTCTTGTTCTTCTTATTCTCGAAGAGATCAAACGGAGCACGCTGAGGAACAAAGAGAAGAGCACGGAACTCCAGCTGGCCCTCAACCGAGAAATGCTTCACTGCAAGGTGATCTTCCCAATCATTGGACAGACTCTGAAATTATTGATTATAACGCCGCTGCAGATTTTTTACTATTTTAACCAAAAAAACTCGCTGCATTCTGTACTGTATGCTCAAAAAAAAAACGACTAACCTTGTAGAACTCCGCATACTCTTCGTTAGAAATGTCATCGGGATTGCGAGTCCAAATTGGCTTAGTCTTGTTCAGCTCTTCGTCTTCATGATACTTTTCCTTGATCTTCTTAGTCTTCTTTTTCTTCTTGTCAGCATCCTCGTCCTCGCCAACATTCTCAACCTCGCCTTCCTTGGCCTTAAAACCGCACTTTCATCAAAGATAAACATCAGAACACACTCATCATGCATCTTGAACACTCACCTCTTCCTTCGTCTCTTCTGCTTCATCATCCTCAACTTCCTTCTCACGCTCCTTTTCTACGACAAGTTTGATTGGATAGCCAATGAACTGGGAATGCTTCTTTACAATCTCCTTGATACGGCGTTCCTCCAACACCTCGGTCTGGTCCTCCTTGATGTGCATGGTGATCTTAGTACCACGAGTTACTTCTGGGTCATTAACAGCCCTAAAATGACAACAATGAGTACAACACAGCAGATTGCAGAAATGCGATCACGAAGCATACCTAACTACGAATGAGCCACCAGCGCTGGATTCCCATTGGTAGCAGTCATCATCGTTATGTTTTGACGTGACCACAACACGGTCCGCGACAAGGAATGCTGAGTAGAAACCGACACCAAATTGTCCGATCATGGAGATATCAGCACCAGCCTGTTAAAATGTAGAGGTAACACGTGAATCTTTGAGGAAATGGAATCGAAGCACACTTCAAGACATTGCTATCACAGAAAATGACAACAGTCCTACCTGCAGTGCCTCCATGAAAGCCTTCGTCCCTGATTTGGCGATTGTTCCCAAGTTGTTGACGAGGTCCGCCTTCGTCATTCCGATACCAGTATCAATAATAGTGAGGGTTTTGTCTTCCTTATTTGGAATAATTTTGATGTAAAGTTCCTTTCCAGTATCCAGCTCTCCTGGTTCGGTAAGAGCCTGAAATCTTCATCAATTCTGAAGTTCTGCATTGGGCGAGCTTTCGCTTACCTACGCTCAAGTGAAGTTACATTGCTTAGATTCAACCAGCTAGAGCGACTTTACTGCGCCACCACCGCAAAAGGTATCGGAGCTGGCGTATTTAGGGTAAGGGGCATCATTGTGCGGACTGGTGCCTAAGAGGGGTAGAACTTCGGGAAAATGAAGAATCGCTCTATCCCCCCATAGTCCCCGTTAGGCTTAGTCCTAGTTGGAGAAGGGACTAAGGGAATGTTGTATGTATGAATGGGCAGTGGTCAACCAAAGCGTGCGAGTCCAGCAGAAAAGCACATACTTCTGTACTCTTGTAGGACTAAGCCTTTGAAGGAAGGAAAGAAAGCAGAGATGCTGTAATAGTGTGCATATGCGAGTGCCCAGAGAACACTACAAAACGCTGAATCACCAAGCCTTCCGGTTGACCGCTGCCCTTGGACGGTATGAATGTCCCGCTTTGAAGTACACCAGCACCAGGTGCTGCCCACTGCTCACCTATCCGCTACCAACGAGACGGAAATGGGAGGTGTTTGGATT